AATGCAACCCCTACCAAAATTCTAACAGCTTTTTTTGCAGAAATGAAAAAGTCAATCCTGAAATTAACATGGAATCTCAAGGGGACCCAAATAGCCAAAAATATCTTGAAAAAGAAAAATAAAGTTAGATGATTCACAGTTCCCCATTTCAAAACTTAATTACAAAGCAACAGTAATCAAATGGTACTAACAAATCAAATATGGTACTAACATAAGGACAGACATATTGACCAATGGAATAGAACTTAGAGTCCAGAAGTAAATCCATACATCTATGGCCAATGGATTTTCAACAGGGTGCCAAGACCATTCAGTGAGGGAAAGAATAGTCTCTTCAACAAATGATATCTGGATATCTACAGTCAAAAGAATAATGCTGAGACAACTGGATATCTACAGTCAAAAGAATAATGCTGGGCCTTTGCCTCACACCACACAAAACAATTAACTCAACCTTACACCATATACAAAACTTTATTCAAAATGGATCAAAGACTTAATGTGAAGCCTAAAACTATAAAACATAGAGAAAAGTTTCATGACATTGGATTTAGGAATGACTCCTTCAATATGACACCAAAAGCAAAGGCAACCAAAGTAAAAATACATAAACTGAACTACATCAAAATTAAAAACTTCTGCTCATCAAGGAACACAATCAACAGAGTGGAAAGGCAACCTACAGAAAAGGAAAAAATGTTTGCAAATCCTGGATCTGATAATGGTTTAATATCCAGAACCCCTACAACTTCAACAACAAAAAATCTCAATTAGAAAATAGACAAGGGTTTGAATAGACATTCTCCAAAGAGGATATACGAATGGCCAAAAAGCACATGAAAAGATGCTCAGATGCTCAACATCACTAATTATTAGGGAAATACAAATCAAAACCATAATGAGATACCACCTCACACCCATTAGGATGTTCATTATTGAAAAATAAAAATAAAAACATAAAATATCAAGTACTGGTGAGGATGTGGAAAAATGGAACTCTTGTGTACTGCTGGTGAGAATGTAAAATAGGGCAGCCACATGGGAAACATATAGTGGTTCCACAAAAATTAAGAATTACTGTAAGATCCAGCAATTCCACTTCTGGGTACAGAACCAAAATAACAAGCAGGGGCTCAAAGAAATATCTGTACACCAATGCTCATGACAGCATTATTTCAATAGCCCAAAGGTGGAAGCAAACCAACTGTCCATCTAAGGATGTAATAGACAAACAAAATGTGGTATATACACATGGTGGAATATTATTCAGCCTTAAAAATAAAGGAAATTCTGACACATGCTACAACATGATCCTTGAGGATAAATTATGCGAAGTGACATAAAGTCAGTCACAAAAAGACAAATACTAAATACTGTTTGACCATTTATATGAGGTACCAGAGTAATCAAATTCACAGACAGAAGGTAAAATGTTGATTGCCAGAGGCTAATGGGAGCATGGAATAGAGAGCTGTTGTTTAATGGGTATGGAATTTCAGTTCTGAAAGATGAATAATAGACAAACAAAATGTGGTATATACACATGGTGGAATATTATTCAGCCTTAAAAATAAAGGAAATTCTGACACATGCTACAACATGATCCTTGAGGATAAATTATGCTAAGTGACATAAAGTCAGTCACAAAAAGACAAATACTAAATACTGTTTGACCATTTATATGAGGTACCAGAGTAATCAAATTCACAGACAGAAGGTAAAATGTTGATTGCCAGAGGCTAATGGGAGCATGGAATAGAGAGCTGTTGTTTAATGGGTATGGAATTTCAGTTCTGAAAGATGAAGAGTTATGGAGATTGGTTGCAAAGCAATGTGAATGTACTTAACACTACTGAATTTAACACTTAAAAATTGTTAATATGGTAAACTTTATGCCATGCCACTCACTTTCTTACTACAAATTTTAAACACTTCTGTTAAACATTTCATACAAAGAAGGTACTATACTCTTTAGTAACAGGGGACACATGGGTGAGGGGGTGTGGGGATGAGGGGGTGCGAGAGAAGAACGTCACAAATTATTTTGCCAAAAACCTGCATGAGCATGAAGTGAATGTCATTTTTCAGTAAGAATCATTATAATTTTAGAAATAAGAATCTCACCAAAAAATGTTAAGTAGAACTACTAACCCCCTCAAAGATAATTAAAGAAAGGTAATCTCTGCCTTCCACAATTACTCAAAATTCATTTTGCATTTTAGAAGAATATTTACACATTCATTCATCTTCACAAGAGAACATTATTATATACCTCCTTCCATATATTGAAATAAAAAGCCATCGATTAAACATCACCATATTTACAATTTCTAAAGGGTATTTTAAGAGTTTCCATTGTTGTTTGTTTTAGTTTCAGTCAGAAAGCTGTATCTTACACATGTAAGGGATTCTTATCCCCTTAAGCACAGGCCTTGTAGACTGGAGGCAAAATAAAGCATTCAATAAACCTGGAAAAGATGTTATAAGCAATTCACCTATTCGAACGTCTTAAAAGAAAAAGTGGGCTAAAAAGATGCTTTAAAAAATGCTTAAAACAAAAAGGCAAGTGAATTGCTTAAAGGTTTTATTTTTGTTTTAAATATATGCATACATTTTGTTGTTGCTATTTAAGATACAATATTTCACACTACCTATAATCATTAAATCCCAATCTGTCTACTAGAAAACATCTTTTTAAATGTAAAAAAAAAGAAAACCCAAGTAGCTTTCCTAATTATTATACCTTTTGAACTAAAATATATTATTCTTACACAAACTCAGTCAAATCTGATTATTCACAGTTGACCGCAAACTTCTAAGATTACCTCTATTGTCACAAGAGCAGGTTCAGTTTTTTTCCATTGTAGAATAGCTATCTACCCGTGAGTAATGGCAAACTGTACTGAACCATCTCTGCAGAATTAGGCTCCTTATGATGTAAATCACCTAGGAATGGGAAAGCACCTAGTCAGCAAGAACGTTGTCTAAGTCTAAGAGATGGGAGGCTCCTTAAAGCTTACTTTACAGCTATAGTGAATGGACCAACACCCCATGTAATGTTTATTCAATTACCTAAAAATATTATCCCATTACAATCGGAAATTGAGCATTAGCTACATTCAAACTTGTCACAAGCAAATTACATCATTTGCAAGTATGATCATTAAGAAAACCAATCAAATAACCACTATGCAAGTTTTCTGGTCCCACTGAAGAGATTTTTAAATATATACAAGAAATTTAAGTAAAATTATAAAATCCTAAAAAAGATTACATAGCTTTCCTTAAAAGAAGCAGACAGACAAAACAAACTTGATGCATGTGATGATAACATTGGCACCAGTTTCTCAAGTCTACTATATTGGAAACCAGTTGCCCAAATAATTATCAAATTAAAAAAAAAATCCAAGCAGACTCTGAACTAAAGTAACTAACATTTTCACAAAACAAAAAAATGAAACTACAAACCTTATTTTGCATCTTGTTTCTAAATTTGTCTCTACTTTTGATTACAGAAGTATGCTGCTTTGTTAGCATACAATTTTAAACCTATTTTGCTTCTTCCTGTTCAGGCATACTCTATAAGAATAGCACACAAAATTCATATTGGGCTCATATACCATAATTTCCTGCAAATATTCCTCTTTTTCATGTATCACACACACATTATTTGTATTGCTTATATTAAAAGTAATATAAACAATGGTAGATTACACTCTCCCAAAATGGCTACAATGATAGATTCCATCCCATATGCTCTTCTTATGTGTGATGTTGACAGTCCTCCCTTCAAGTGGTAGAGGTCTATGTTCAATCCCTCCTCTGAACCTAGGTGGACCTTTGCAACTCAACCCAACAGAAGAGAACAGAGTAACACCCCACATAGTTTGTATTACCTTTAAGATAAGGAATATGAAAAAGAGGAGTTTCAAAACTAAGTTAAATATGCCATGCAACTTTGCCTTGCTGTCTTGGGATGCTCTGTCTTGGAATCCAGCCACCATGCTGTGAGAAAGCCAAGCAGTCCAAAGAACTCACATGTAGGTGTTCTTTCTGGCAGACAGCACAGGCCCAGATCACTGTCAACATCCAGCACTAACCACCAGACACACTAGTGAGCAAGCCTTCAAATGATTCCAGCTGCCAGCCATTAAGCCATCCTACCCTTCCAGCTACCCCACTTAGCCACATATTAACAGAGACAAGGTGTCTCTACCAAGAGAGACTTGCCCAAATTGTAGATACATGAGCAGAATTATTGGTGTGTTTTAAGTCACTAAGTTTGAGGTGGTTTGCTATGCAACAATAGATAATTAACACAAATTCATGAATACAATTTGGAAAATGCACAAAAAGAGAAAGAAAATTTTATTACCTAAGTTTCACCACTTAACGTTTTAACACATATTTTATAATCAAGAAAATGTTTTGCCCTGTCCACCTAAGATTCCAAATGCTTTGGAAAAGGTATCATTTAACCAAGGAAAAGGTTAAAATTGTAAAGGTAGTGTGGATAAAGTAAAGGTTCCTATGGCCATGATTCTCACCTGGCCTTGGTCGGCTAGCTCACTACACGTGCAGGCAATACGTTGCTATTGACTCTATATATAAAGAGCTCAGTCCAGTGCTCTAGGCTACACGGTGGCATGGCTGCAGGAGAGCAGAGACTGGAGTGGTGGCAGCACCAAAGACAGAGACTGAGATGGCTGCAGGGGCAGAGAAGCCCAGAGGCAGAGACTGGTTTGCTGCATGCGGACTCGCTCTGAGTGGATGGGATTCTAGTGACTGACCTCCCACCATGGGAATAAAGTTGGGTATAAACCCTTTCACCCCAAAAATGTTCCATTGTCATTTTTCAGTCTCATTGAATCCACAGTGAACTTGCCTGGGGCTGAAACCCATTGTCAAGACAGATAGTCAACTCTTTGCATCTAAGAAGAAATAGGGAAGAAGAACATAAGCATTCATTCCACTTCTGTAATCCTCACTTTTTCACTTACCTGTCCTAAGTGAGGTGTCTGAGGATGGCTGGTCTACCAATGTTCCAATCTATGGACGTGGATCAAGATGGGTTGCAAGAGCAGCCACACTGGCCCTCTTCCCTGGAAGAAGCTGCTTAAACCCCAAATCTGAAATTTTCAAGAAAAGAAAATGCTAAATATAGACATCTTTCAATTACTTATAATTCCATCTCTTCAAATGAATGGGGGTTGAAAGAGTGGGTTAAGGTTACATGGAAGCAAATGCATAAGTTTCACTAAAAATGGAGTTGAGTAATGTATATTCAAGTCCCAGTTCTACTTCTTACAAGCTATATGATCTTAGTTAAGGCACAGATCCTTCATGCTTAAATTTTATCTTGTGATGAAAATTGAGGGCACAGGATCAAAATTTTGGTTTGAGTCAAAAAGACCTGGGTTCTAAACTCAGTTCTATCATTCAGCCATACTCTGAGAACTTTGACACTTCTCTGGGCTCAGATACATCATCTCTAAAAGGAGTGGGTTGTATTAGACAATGGTTCCTGAAATCTAATCCTTGAACAGGTATCAACCACAACCAAAAAATGGGTGTAAAACAATTCTGCTTCCTATGAGATTGTCCTTTCTACTTTTTGGTGTTAAAATGGCTTCTTTTATGAGATGATGTGATAGATAGTAGTAGTTTTTATTAATTTATTTATTTTGGTATCATTAATACACACTTACATGAGCAACATTGTGGTTACTAGATTCCCCCCATTATCAAGTCCCTACCACATACCCCATTACAGTCACTGTCTATCAGCATAGTAAGATGCTATAGAATCACTACTTGTCTTCTCTGTGCTATACTGCCTTCCCCATGGACCCCCTCTTATATTATGTGGGCTAATCGTAATGCCCTTTATCCTTTCCCTTTGGTAACTGGTAGTCCATTCTTGGGTTCTGTGAGTCTGCTGCTATTTTGTTCCTTCAGTTTTTTTCTGTGTTCTTACACTCCACAGATGAGTAAAATCATTTGATACTTGGCTTTCTCCTCCTGGCTTACTTCACTGAGTATAATATCCTCTAGCTCCATCCATGTTGTTGAAAATGGTAGGAATTGTTTTCTTCTTATGGCTGAATAATATTCCATTGTGTGTATGTCCCCCTTCTTTATCCATTTATCTACTGATGGACACTTAGGTTGCTTCCATTTCTTGGCTATTGTAAATAGTGCTGCAATAAACATAGGGGTGCATATGTCTTTTTCAAACTGGGCTGCTGCATTCTTAGGGTAAATTCCTAGGAGTGGAATTCTGGGTCAAATGGTATTTGTATTTTGAGTTTTTTGAGGAATCTCCATACTGCTTTCCACAATGGCTGAACTAATTTACATTCCCACTAGTAGTGTAGGAAGGTTCCCTTTTCTCCACATCCTCGCCAACATTTATTGTTTTTGTCTTTTGGATGTTGGCCATCCTAACTGGTGTGAGGTGATATCTCATTGTGGTTTTAATTTGCATTTCTCTGATGATAAGCAATGTGGAGCATCTTTTCATGTGTCTGTTGGGCAACTGAATTTCTTCTTTGGAGAAGTGTCTGTTCAGATCCTCTGCCCATTTTTTAATTGGATTATTTGCTTTTTCTTTGTTGAGGTCCATAAGCTCTTTGTATATTTTGGATGTCAATCCCTTAGTAGTAAATTGTGTTTTAAATACCTTAGAGAGTCAAACTCAAAAGCTGTAGCCCAAGGTAAAATTCTTTTTAGAAATTCTAGTGTCTCTATGATTTATATGAGCTCTAAAATTCCTTCTACTTCTAACATTCTACATATTCATTCACTGCTTAACTAATATTTTTATTAGGTACCTAATATGTGTACTCTACTAGTTGTTGGGACAAAGTTGGGGAGTGGAGGGAAGCAAAAATAAATAAAACTAATCACTGCTCTTAAGAAATCTCCCAATCTATTTGGGAAACAAACATATAAGCTTCAACTTCAATGTAATAGTTTAAGTCTTCTAAAAGAGGTTTTTGTACCTTATGACATACAGGAGGTAGATCAGTGATATTAATGGGTTTTTTAATTAAGTAGTATTTTGGAGTGACTTTTGTAGTTGTATGAGGAATTAAATAATCCCTTTGAATCACAATTTCCTTATGTGCAAAACAGGAATGATTACAGATACCAAAGAGTTGTGGTAAATAGATAAGATGCTAAAAACAAATAGCCAATCCACCCAAAAGTTTAGCTTATAGAACTTCCAAAAGACAAAAATGTATCAATGATCTGGCACAAAGGCAGTTATTTACAACACTTATTTACATTCAATGATGGTACCTGGTATACCTTTCTCCACTAGCCTCCAAGCAGTTGAAGTGCACAACCAAGTTTGCCCCATTTTATATTCCTAGCACCTAATACAATACGTTATAAATAGCAGGTATCACTAGTTTATTAGAAAAAAATGATTAATTGAATGAATTCATGAATGGCTTCTCTTTTTTACAGGAATTAAACTTACAGTAGCTGAAAGTAAAAATTCTCAAGGTTTTTATTCAAAACTAATTTTAAGTGTATGTTCATAGAGAAAATGAAAGTTCATGGCCAGGATTCTCACCTGACCCTGGTCTGCTTGCCCACTGCACACGTACAGTGTGCAGGCAGGCACATGCTTACACATGTGTTGGCAATGGGCTATTACTGACTCTATATTAAGAGCTCCGCCCAGCACTCTGGGGCTGCAAGATAGCGAAGAGACCTGTTGGCATAGACCAGCTTGCTGCCTACAGACTGGCCCTGAGGTGGATGGGATTCTACCACTTGACCTGCCTCCAGAAAAATAAAGCTGGGTATAAACTCTTTTACCCACACCGTTCCATTGTCATTTTTCATTCTCACCAAAACCAGAGTGAATTTGTCCAGGGCTGAAACCCTATTCTAAGTGCCCAAACCTCTCATAAGGAATCTGGATATGCATGCCTGTTTTAAAAAGCAATAGAAATTCACCATAGAAATGCAACAGTGGTGCTCATGATTAAGACTAGCAGGAGCTAACATTTATTGAGTAAAAATTACTTTACTATTTGCCAAATACTCTTTTTACAGGACTATTTCTTTCCACAGATTATTTCACTTAATCCTGATAATCCTTATGAAATGAACTATTAATATCACTTTATAACTAGGAAAAATGAGCCACAAAGAAGTTACTTCCAACATCACAAAACTACTAAGCAGTAGGTCTGGGATTAAAAAAAATAACAGCCTATGAGACTCCAGAGCCCTTTTTTCAATTGTTATTTAACTAAGTAACTGTTTTAAAAAAACATTTTACCAGAACTAGGAACACTTGCTCCTAATGATTCCCTTTTTTTCTTCAACAGAACAAGGGAGTTGTCTAGCCAATGGGTTTCAGCCCCAGGCAAGTTTGCTGTAGATTCAACGTGACCAAAAGAAATTGACAGCAAAACGTTCTTTGGGGTGAAAGGATTTATTGCCTGGCTTGTTCTACTGGCAGTAGGTTGAGCACTAGCACTGTGCAGAGCACTGGGCCCAGCTGTCTATATTGTGCATAATAGCTTATTGCCTAAAGGTGTGGAAGTGGTAGCCCAGCAACAGGCCAGTTACATCATCAGGTGGTTTAAGTTCAGTGAGGATCCTGGCCATAGGAACCCCAACTTCCCCACACTCCACTCCTCCAGGATTCTCTTAGAGTCCTCTCCAGGATTAGTTTACAATCTACACGCTTTCAATATTCTGCAATGGTCCCTGTGCGAGAGAGCTGGAGCACTGTAACCAAATTCTACAATAGCAACAGAGGATAACAACAACTTAGAGATAATAACAAAAATTAAGATACAACAAGATTTTGATACAGGTAACAAAAATTATAATAATCCTCAAGCCAGAGGAGGTTCCTAATAACAAAAATTATAATAATCCTCAAGACAAAGGAAGTTCCCAATCCACAAATACTTTAGGGGTGATAAGACACATGTTTTAATGACACCAATACATAGGCAAATCTTGTCCATCAGGTAGGATGCATGCAAGAGTGGTCCTGTGACAGGACTGTAGCAGGAAGGGGGTCACTTCCAGGTCTAGTATACCATACTCCTTTCCCTGGGGGGTCTACTGAAGGGTCTATATATAGTGCTACTGGAGGTACATGCACTGGCCATAACGTTAAAACAAAACTCTCCAGTAAGATGCTCCTACCTTCTGGCTGTTCAGGATATACTACTGTGACCTTTGGGGGCCACTCTGCTTTTATTCCAGGAATACACAGGAGGCCAGCTTCCAGGCCTTGTCCCCAAGGTGCCAGGAGAGCCAGCCATCATTGGTCCATGTGTCAAAAGGTCCAAGGCCACATCCACTCAATGGAGTCTTCAGGGTTCAGTGCAGTTGGTGCTGGCAGCAAGATATTATTCTGGTGGCCGAAACTTGGCTTTAGTGATTTTTCCTTGGTTTGTACTTGCAGTTGTATAGGGAAGGCAGCCATATGTGTTAACATGTCTATGGGGCTCAGGGCTCCCTTTCGGGGTCTCCCGTTCAAATGCTGTAGCATGGTCCATAAGCAGACAGACCATCCCTGCAGACTATTGGTATCTGACTTTAGTCTCGATTTTAACAAGCCATTGTGCCTCTCTATCATGCCTGCTGCAGTAGGATTGTATGGCACATGAAACTTCCCTTCTCTCACATCAATGCCATTTCCTTCTTCAGGGAACCTACAGAAGTTTGCAGCTCGCATTCTCATGCCACCATTTCTTGGGTCTTTTTCAGGAGCATGTCCTTCTCTTCTGTAGACTTTTTTAATACCGTGAGAAGCAGCCAACCCACAGTCCCCGCTGCCTCAAGGGCACTCTGTCTCTCAAAAGACCTACTTACTATACCAAGGGCCACCCCTACTGCCTCAGGTATCACCTCCACTTGCGTCCAGTCCTGGGGTGGGGCCCAGTCCTCTAGGAGGCAAGCCACCTCGGACCACATACCCATTGGGGGACAATCCACTGTCTTCCCATTCACAGGGGCAGCCCACTGAAGCACCGCTCCCATAAGGGCAGCCAGTCTTTTTCGTTGGTCAACAATGAACCCTGCCAACTTTCACCAATTGTATTGCCAATACGTTTCAGCCCAGGGCAAGTTCGCTGTGGATTCA